GCCAGCTCCAGAAGGGGATTCATTGCTCAAACGGACCGAACGGTGCTGATTTGGACATCAAGGGTTTGATGTCTGAGCCATTCAGAAAATCGACCGTGCAAAGCCGACTGCTGATGGACTGATCGTCGGCCGACTTGACAACAAACCAATGGCAACATGAAACGAGGCAGGGGCAAGGCTGACCTGTATCCCTGCACTCCACGACACCACTCAGGCAAAAAGGAAATGTTCCGACTGGACAGGTATTGGTTAGAGAGGTGCGGGCAACTGCGAATGTGCGTGGCCCGAGGGCTCTTTAGCTCGAGGGCGGTTATGGTAAACGACCAAAATCAGGGCCCTGTGGCTTGATCGACACGGTCCAGGGATTGCGATATGGGTGAGGGCAACGGTGGCTGGCCTCACCGGTAGGCTGAGGTCTCGGAAATCTCCAAGCATTCTGGCACCAGTCAGTATGAATGCGTCGGCAGTACTGGACTTTCCGACCAGAATTAAGATGGTCTCGAATTGGACGCCCTCAAAGGGGACAAAAATTGGGCATGGTGGAGCCAAGGGCTGGTGAATCATTGGTTACGCATGGTAGGCAATTGTTCCCACAGTCCACCTCGCTGCGGCGGCCCGTAGCCTGTTGTCATCTGCAAGTATGTCGTGCGCACTTCCGGAATATGCAGCATGGGGCTCGTTTGGAAGTCGAGCAAGGGGCGGAGCCGCGTGGAGTGGGTGATCTAGCCCTGGCCAAAACATCTGCAGTTGGTTGCAGCGAGAAAAGGCTGCCAGCCTGAAGTTGGGGCTATGACGAAGGCGCTGAGGATGCTGGCACCGCAAGAGGAGAGGGAGGTCGAGGAGAAGCTGCTCCAAAGGTGGTAATGGTGGTGTGGTGGTGTCAAAGAGGTACCAAAAGGAGAAGTAAGACTGGTGAGGTGGCTCGAGTCCAGGATCTGATGGTGGTGGTTGAAGTGATTGGGAAGTGGTGGAAGTGTTGAATGATGATGGTGGTGGTGAGGGTGGCGGTGATGTTGAGTGCTAAGCTGAGTGAGTAAGTGAAATCCCTGCGGCGTCTGCCCTCTCCTTTACTCCCTCTCCACGCTGTACCTGGACTTCGAGCCATCCTCACCACCAACACTTTTCGCGCCATCCTGTATTTTCACAACTCATCTTGCCACCTTGACCATGTGTCCAAACTCCTGATTTGAGGCAAAAAGACGGGACAAGCTAAGTGTCTACGTGACAATGAGTCAATGACTGCTAATCGCATAGGAACAGCTATTAACGCTCAATTCCTGATGAAATGCCTTGCGCAGTGCACATTGTACCTCTACACTAACGTTCTCTCGATTTTGCTCGTTCCGTGGGATGTCTCGATACAAAACAATTGGTACCTGACCGCACATTCGGTGGTTCAGAGGTGTATCGTCCTCTTGCACTGAGCATATCTGATCTGGTTAAGCATTGGTTGACCACACATTACACTTCTCCTACTGGCGGCAACAGGCTGCAAGGAGTCCCGACTAGGCCAAGGAATGTAGGTGGCAAGACATATCTCACTCCTGTACGCTTGACCACGGCGGTGAAGGAAGGCTCCTGCTCTTCACGCCTCCAGCCAAAGGCCGTCTCTGTGGCCCGCTCGGGAGGAGCCAGGGCAGGCTTGACCGTCTCCCAACCGCTCCCTCTCCGAAACTTGGAATCGCCTCACAGGCCAGCTTTGACGATGGTGGCTTGGTTGGCTCTGACAAATCCCGCGACTTTGACGGGTTGCACCAAATCTGCCTTCTTTGCAGCTTGGACCACCTGTTCGTCTTTCATGCTGGCAGTGGTATCACTGACATGGAGGCTGTCTTGGAGCCCCCCAAACAGTATCGACAACACAAAGGCGAGCGGACCTTTCTCCTTTCTTTCTCGCCCAGGACGCCCGTCTGATCCTGATGTGGAATAGCTCCAGATGTTTCATTTGATCCCGCTACCCACCGTGGCTCAGATGATAATGATTCTGATGATGGTCGCTCTGGAAGGATGCTAGGAAACCTCGGATGCTGCCACGTCGTGCCTATCTGATCGCTCCATGTGGTGCCGGACTATACAGCTGTGGCCGCCGGCTCGTACTTCCCCGATGCAGGTCCAACATACATACGTTCTTCGAATGAAATGCTTGGTTCATGGGAGTAACAGAGAATGGCCTTTTCCAGACCCATCTCGCGATGACAGCTCTGGAATCGTTTCCCTTTTCGGGCTATTTTGATCTCAACCGGCCGCTCGCCACAGCAACAATCGACATTGATACCTGAAGCTCATATGCCAGGCATCTTGCTCATGGTTCCGCTGGACCCTGGAGATGTCAGCCTTCGGCACCGCTCATACATCTATTTCTGCAAGGGCCAGATCAGGCAGAATGCTCGAGCTGACGAGTTTGTGCGAGGGTATGGTGGAGGTTGGAAGGGCCGTCTACGTCAAGGCGGCGGACGAGACGAAATGCAGCCGATCAGACCAGTTGAACTCAGCCATGTTTGATCACCTTAAACCCAATACGTTATGTCTTTCGGCATCACCACCATCACCGCTACCGCTGTTGGGAGCTGGTGGCTCCCATATCTCTTGCTCCCTGTCTCGGGCGCTATCTGAGCGAGCACAAACAACTATCCAGGTGAACACATTGAACGATCTGTCCTACTGCTTCCCTAGCAAACCCGCGTAAGTCACCATGCCTCGTCCAGCCCTCTATACACTGCCTCCTTCAGGATCCAGAGCATGGCTTCAAATCCAGCAGGGTGTGCAGGTAGAGTCTCCACTTAATAGACTGCCTCGCACCTTAAGTAGCGAATGTCACCGACCTCAGTCTAGGTGGCAGGCATTAGGTTCCTACTCCGTTGCCCTTTCTTTAGGAGGCTCCCTCCTCGTGGACACTGAAGGCGCTGCTCCGTCTGAAAGCGAAACCCATTAAGAAACATCTACAGGACAGCTAGGTGCTGTCATTTCAGGAGGTAATCAGGCCGTGGACGGGGCTGAAGGGTGTTTTTTGCCACTGCGTTGACCTTGCTTCTGAGAGAACAGGTCACTCATTCAAAGTAAGCTGGACGCCCCAGGAACGATCCGTCCTATCAAATGTCTATTCTGGCTCAGGTTTAAGGTGTGTAGATGGAATTGTTTTGCTTCTGTAGAACCGGGTCAGAGGGTTGGCGATCATCTTGGAAATTCTTATGCAACAAGGTTGTTTCTTCTGCTATTTTATCACAAATCTCGTTCGTACTGCGAATTGCGTAATTTAGAAGCAAGGCCACCGTCGAGCTCCCATTCCAGGGCCATGCACTGGCCTTTTCTTTTGCGAGGCATATTCTCATCATTTCGTGGAGCCGTTTGCCATACAGTTCCGCCATGTCTCTAGCTCTGCACAGAATCAAGGTCTACTAGGTCGTTCTCTTCGCAAACTCCACTCTCAGAATCAAGTGCCTGTAGCCGAAGCCATCCATCTTCTCACATGCTCTGGCGGCATCAGACCTGTCCACAAAGGAAATGAATGCAAAACCCTTTGCGCGGCCGGTATCTCGGTCTTTGGCCAGGAAGACTCTGGTGACGCGACCGAACCGCTCGAAGAGATCGCGAAGCTCTTGCTCTTCAGCCATCTCGGAGACCTATGCAATTGAGAGTTAGCGAGGGTCCGGCTGATGAGAACACATCTGGACGGTCAAAAGGAAACTCACGTTCGTAACTCGCAATGTAGCCAAATCGTCCCTTTCGTACTTGCCGCCCATCCTCTCTCCGGCGCCTTGAGCACCTTTCCTGAGATGTGGCGGTACATAGCTGCTGCCGCCGGTACCGAGTCCACCTTGAGGCTTCTGCCCAGATTCGTCATCTTCTGCCATAGGGTCGGCGACGGGTGTTGTCCCATCGTCCGCTGGCGCCATCGTATCCTTGAAGGGACATCTAGCTGTGAAATGTTCGCCTTGACAGATACGACACTTGACCTTCTTATCTCTCAATTGCTCCTTCAGAGATTTCTCCTCCGCCTTGCCGCCGCCTGCCTTGGCTTCTTCGGCCTGCGCATTCTTCCAATCTCGACTCGGTCTGAAGAGTATGTTTTCGCCGACGGAAGTAGTGTCAGGCTGGGGGCCCTTGGGTTTGCCCTTCTCAAGGCCGAATTTCTCCCAGGTGCGTCGTTCAGCGACGACTGGGTTGACTTTTTCTTTGTGGGTTGTGATCCGGGTTTTCCGTGTGACTTTCACTTTCTGACCCTGGTCGTTGAAGCGGTAGAACACCGTGGTCCGAGTTCCATCTTTGTTCACAGTGGTCACAGGAGCGGGCAGCGCCGTGGGGTCGTTGATCTGTTCCGAGTCGGAGACATCGTCTGCCCAGTCTGGGCGGCTGCGGATTTCCAAATCGCATGTTAGAGAAACCTTTCTTCAATTCCATCATCACGATGGATGAGGGTACTTACGTTGCGGTCTTTGACATTTTGTTGTATTTTGCTATGCCCTCAGAAACAGAAACTTCGGCATGAATGTCGTCAAAAGTATGATGAGTCTGAGGAGGATGTGAAGGCAAAGTCATGGAATTGCCATCCCACATATTTTCGTATGTCACTGCGCCTGCACCACGACCCAAAAAAAGCTTAGTGTTGCCAAGGCAGGCGAGGCTGCATTAGTAATGCTAAGGGGCGAGGGCGAGGCTCGCAAAACTGAGGACCCCTGACCTTAGCATGTTACATTCAAAGAAACTAGCTGCTATGTATGTTGTTCATCGTTGCTAGGCACGATGTCCCTTCTGCCCTTCTGTTGACTGCAGTACATACGCCCTATTGCCTTCAGAGCTCTGTCAATTCGATCGAATTAGCACCGCCAATCCTTCCTCTCAGGTGTTCAACCACCACCCACCCCCCAACTTGCACTTCATGTCAAACCCGAGGTTTTGCACAAGCAGCAAAGCTCGCTCCGTTTGTATTATGCACGCCAGCTGCACTCCTCTGAACTCTTCACTCGCCTTGGTCTCTGGAGAACTTGCATGTTTTTGTCCCTTCAACGAGACGACTTATCCTTTTTCCCACGCCGAACTGGTTGGTCGAACTCCACCACAATTGTCGGTTTGACGAGCACAATCTTCTTTCTGGACTCCGTCGATCTGCGCACAAATGCGGGATACACGAGGACCTGAAACTCGCCAACTCTGCCGGCTGAACCCACCACTGGAATGGCTGAGGAACTCAAGATAGAGCCAGTCCTGCTGTCGATGATCGTGAAATCTTTGACTTGCTCGGCCTTGATCACGGGATGGTCCAATTCGAACTCAAAATCAAACTGCGACATGGAATGCCGGATGTTCTCTGCCAGATCCCCTGCTTCTTGGACGATTTGCCGGCATAATGACGGTTCGCTTGAACAACCATGCTGCCCCATTTCCTTCAACACCGCTGCGCCTTCTGTAAGGTGCTCCTCAATTTGGTTCAATCTCGCTTCGCGTAGCTGTTTGAGTTGTTTGTCGGTGTTGAGGGAACGCTGAAGATCAATTCTCCACATGCAAATAGCCTCCTTATCTTTCCGCGGTCAGTCATATACAGCAGCAGGTGGGAGCTTTTTACCTTTTGCTGGCTTCAGAGCACTCAATCCGTCAATGATCCTTCCCAGACAGGTCTCAGTGTCGGGGTCAAGACCTGGAAATATTCTTTCCGCTCCAAGCAAAGTCTCATGCAGATAATTGAAGATCTGTCTTTGCATCATTGGAATCTCGATGTTTGGATTCTGTTCGGCAAGGACTAGATCCGATTCCGACAGATAATCCATCCCCAACTGTGTTCCGATGATTCGACCTGATGATCCATCATCGCAGGAAAGAGCAGCGATAAAACCTTCTGCATCGCCAAAGTGGACATCACAGCAAGACTCGATGCCCTTGCACAGGGTTATGTATTGCTGTTGCAATTGAGTATCCGCCATGCCTTCCACGGGTAACATACGGAAGATGCGGTCTTTGCAAATTTCGAGATTTCGCAGCAAAGACTCTCCGTGGTCTCTTGACTGTTGCAGCTGACGTTTCAATGTTAAAATGTTTGCCCCGTCCTGTTTGGACCTCGTTTCAGCCTGGCGTGCTTGGGAAGCCTGTTTCTCTAATTCGCTTTCCAATTGGTCCACCCTGCTATGTTGAACTTCAAGATCTTTCTTAAGCTGAATCTTCTCTAAGGTGAGCGCACATACTTTCTGGTGAAGGGCCTTTGCATCTGCGATCTTCGCGGTTGTGTTTCGCTGCCTGGCTTTTGGCCGCCGATCTGTCATGGTATGAGAGTTTTCAGACACATTCACGTCCTGTCCACCCGTTCCAGGTGCACCGCAGGACTGTTTGAATCGTTCTCGCCCAGCTGGATGTTGCTGGCTGCTTGCACCGCTGCTCCAGAGCTTCAGAGCAGTCCATGTGCCCAGGATCGAACTCCTTGCAGCTTTCTTTCCTTCACCGTTCGACAAATCCGTCGCTGCTTTCTTCGATGGCTCCGTGTTATTGATCTGGTCTCCCTTTGCTTGCTTTCTGAAGATTTGGCTGGGTGAAGGGAACAGGAATGAGCGTTTCCCTTCCATGTCTGATTGTCCGCTTGGGATGGCCATTGTTTTATCACCCATCGAACTTGATCAAAGCAGGTAGCTCTTTCCCCCAGAGTATCTCATCAACTCTCAAAGAAAAGAAAATGGTGGTGCGAAGGAGATTTGGAAAGGATCAAAGAATTCGAGAGCAGAAGAGGAGGTGTGCCTCTTGTAATGTCAAAAGATCAGTCCTTTAAAGGGAGACTGCCTTCACCAGCATCTCAGAACTGCTTCACCTCGACTTCTCTGAGCAGTGCCTAAGTCTCCTTTCACTTTAGGTCCGCGCTCACGATCAGCCACCGTCTTTCATCCCTGCCTTGATCTGTGGATTTGACTACACAGTTCACATCAAACTGAAGGTTCTGCAGATTAACTCTCTACAATCTACAGTACTTGTTTGATTCTCTCCTCTATCCAAAAGCTTTTTGTCATCAGTGGCCGAAGGTCATGGCACCAAAACGCAAACGGACAACCAGCGTTGCTGCCCCAGCTCGTCGTCAGATCCTCGTAGGTGTGGACTTTGGGACCACCTTTTCTGGAGTTGCATGGGCTCAGACTTCTTGTGTACGTTGCATACGGATACCTTCGGGGTCCTTTACTGATCCAGGAACAGCCTGAGTTACAAAATACAATCATTCAGTGGCCTGACAGAGACGGCTCACTTGAAGGTCAAACCAGCGAAAAGGTTCCAACTGAGTTGTCATACACCGACACTGACTGTCTCTGGGGTTTCGGGATCCCTGATGAGCAGCCACGTCATCAATGGTTCAAACTTGCTCTGGATCCCAACCAGAAATCGAATGAATTGTCTCTCCTGGCGGTTGACTATCCCGATCCGAAAGCTCTGCCTCCAGGATACAACGACGAGCCGAGCAGGACGAAGCTGGTAACAGACTACCTTAGAGAGCTTCAGCAGCACACGGAAAAGATTCTCAGACGGAAACTCGGTGATAGCATCTTCGACACAACTCCCCTTCGCTACACAATCACCGTGCCAGCCGTCTGGAGTGACTCTGCCAAAGCTAGAACACACGGATGTGCTTTTGGAGCAGGAATGGGTAGTGACATCCAAATTGTCTCGGAACCGGAAGCTGCAATCATGTACGCTTTAAACACCATGGATCCACAGAACCTTCGCGTCAAAGACAACTTTGTTCTCTGCGATGCTGGAGGAGGCACTGTTGACCTGATCACATACACGATCCGATCGCTCAAGCCTAAACTCAAGGTGCGGGAGGCAGTACCCGGCGGTGGAGGTGCGTGCGGGAGCACATTCTTGAACCGCATCTTCCGCAGATATCTTGAAGAAAATTTTAGTCACCTGGATGGCTTTGACGACGACACTTTGGAAGATGCCCTGAATGAGTTCGAGAACATCACAAAGCGCAGATTCACTGGCCAAGAGCAAAGCATCGTCATTCGTGTCCCTGGGCTGACGGACAACATCGCAAAGGGCATCAAGCGTCAGAAGCTCACCATTAAGGCAGCCGTCCTCAAAGATCTCTTCAACCCTGTCATGACTGCTATCACAACTCTTGTCAAACACCAGCTACAACAATCCAAGGGGGCAAGGGCAGTTATTCTCGTCGGAGGCTTTGGCCAGTCACCCTATCTTCGCAGTTGTATCCAGCAGGTCATTGGGAAGGACATTGAGATCATGCAGCCCGCGTACGGTTGGACAGCTCTTGTACGTGGAGCGCTCCTACATGCGCTGCATGATACCACGCCCGACGAATTAAGAGTCACTGTCGATTCCAGGCGCGTCCGCAGAGCATATGGTAGCCGGTGCTTGAAGCCGTATGATATACGCTATCACATGGGCTTTGCAAAGTAAGCGACTCGTACTAGTTTTATCTAAATAATTGCTGACTGATACAGAGACTGGAACGATTTTCAAGGACGATATGACGTTACGGCGATGAGATGGTTTGTGCAGAAAGTAAATTCTTTTCCCGTTCAAGGAGCGCAGGGCCAGAAAGCTGATATAGGTTCAGGGTCACGAGGTTGATCAGGAGACTCCAGTGATTACTGAATGGTTCTTGCCCAGACTGGTCTCTGAAGGTCCATACCAAGTCAGAAATTTTACACTGTATACCTTTACTCCTGAGCACGAAGAACCCGCACCGAAATTCCCATGTGAAGGTAAGATGGTCTCTTGAACGGTGTTATGCATTTCTAGAAAGCCATCACACTGACGTCGGACTAGAAATAAAGGAGTTTGTGACCCTGACCGCCGACCTGGCTTCCATTGACCACAGCGAAATTCCGATCGAAGTTGGCAAGGATGGGAAGGACTACTATGTGCTAGACTACCAAATCAAGGTCGCCTTTTTCTCAGCACACATGGAGTTCTCTCTATGGCGTCGTGGCAAACAGTATGGCATGGTGGAGGCGGAGTTTCTTTAAAACGCAAAAATTCCCACAACAAGGCTTTCGACAGCGGAAGAATCAGCTTCTTTTGGTCAAGTTGACAAATGGGCCACTGGGAGGAGATACTTGACCCACAGAGACGACCACGCCTCGAACAAACCACGCGTGGAAGCTGAAAGCAAAAGAGATGTGACAGCGAGGGGTAGTTTACAGTGCTAGGACAGTTACGACAACGCCCAGAAGCGAAAGAGCACAGAAGCAGAGGCCAAACGTCCGGAGACGAGAGCAGACAACGACAGGAGCACGAGTCTCGGGGCTGATCAGAATATGTGACATTGTCGAAAGCTGTGTGTATGTGTGAGAGAGCTGCCTTTGTACCCGAGAGTCCAGGTTAGTTACGTTACTCCTGTTGATTGGATTGGATGGGATGAGCTAGCAAGCGAGCGACATGTACCGCGTACAGGACCCTACCTGTCTGTGGCTGTTCCGGATGGAAATGAGTGAGTGAAATGATTGAGATAGCTCCAGATGAAATGGAAAGGAAAGGGCTACGTGAATGTCAGCTCGGGCGAATCCGAGAAAACTTCATGGGTGTCTCTCTCTCTCTCTCTCTCTCTCTCGCTCTGGCTCTGGCTCTGTCCCGGTCCCGACAATTTGCTCAACAGCACAGCTCAGCAGTTCTTTCTTCTCCCGCCCTTACTTGACATATCTGGACGGCTAAATCATCCTTGACTTCTTGTAGGAGTACGAGTCTGGCGTAGATGGCCTGCTGGCCTACATACAGCAAGAGGTCTCAGGTATCGACTGTCAGGTACCGAGTGTCGAGTACGATCGAGCTGAGCTGTATCTACTCGGTCATGTACTAGCTCCTAAGTACAGAGAACTAGATACTAAGCACCAGGAACCTGGTAATTGGGACGCCTGATGAAAAGGGAGTGCTTTCAACATTCTAGAAGGGGGGAGTGGCAGAACTAGAAGATCAATCGAGGACCGAGAACCACGAACCACGAACCAAGAAATCGAGACCGGACGCCCAAGGGGAAGAAATAACGAGGCAGTTTAATTTGCAAAGCCTTCCACGTTACGGCCTCCAAAAAAGTTCTTGCTACGCGCCAAAAGAACCAAGCATACACATGAAATTGGCAGACTACGAGGTACGAAACGCACGGTCAGACGCACTGGGTGTATGCATGAGTGCGCATGCCTGCCTGTCCCCTTTTGCACTGACATGATTGTGCGATGCTGGCCCATCTTCTGACCTCGAGCTACCTACCAACCAGTCCGACTGCTTGGGGTTGATCACAGCTTGCTCTTGGAGACGATCAACGCGTTGCCGGTCTGCAGGCACTTGACGGCGTCGTTGACGAGCTCATCAACAATCTCGCGGGCACTCTTCTTCTCGTTGACCACGGCGGCAGCTTTGCCCATCAGGAAGGGGCGAGCGTTCTCCATGTCCTCATCCGTGAGGTCGTCGCCTTTGGTCTCGAAGTCGTGTTCAACCTTGAAACACACAAAAGTCAGTATTCGTGGTATTGGAAAGTCCAGGTCGGTATCTATAAAAAGGGGGTCGGGAACGAAGAACAGATGTGAAAGCATACCGGGATGATACCCTTCTCCGTCAGCTCCTTGATCTCGGATTGCCGATTCTCCTCCCAGTTCTTAATGTACTCGTTGGTCCTCACCCGCAGAGGCCGACCGGTGAAAATAATGGTACGAATGTTGTCGTCGAAGCCTGCAGTTCGGACGGCTTCCTGGTGTGCTTTGGGCGCACCAGCTTCCTCAGAAAGCACGAAGCGTGTTCCGACCCAGACTGCAGATGCACCGAGCATCAGGGCCGATGCCAGGGATGCGCCGGAGAAGATACCACCCGCGGCGATGCACTGGACAGGCTGGCCGGTGAATTTGGAGGGAGGAGCTTCGGCGCAGAGTTTGGCGACGGCGGGGATGAGTATTGAGGTGGGAATATCACCCTGTTGTGCCAGTCAGTTGTCCTGTTCGCCAGGTGTGAGAGAAGGCAGAATCCCTACGGTATGGCCACCGCCTTCACCACCCTGAGCACATATCAAGTCGACACCGAGATCGAGGCATTTCTTCACGTGCTTGACGTGACCAATCATGTTCTAGAAGACACGATTAGACAGATCATTCAAGTGGACGGATTTTGGGTCAGCTCACCATGTATAGAATGCCATGTCTGTGCAGCTTGTCCACCACTTCCTTTGGCGGTACACCCACGGCAGAGACTATCCAAACAGTCAACTTCAATTACCAGACACAGGAGTTGCGTTATGAGGGGTCATACCGAAAAGCTTCGCGCCAGAGTCAATGATGATGTCAATCAACTCGTTGAGCTTGCCCTTGGTGTAGTCGTAGCTGCAAAGCCGTCAGCGAGAGTCCCCTCCATGCGGGTTTTGCCTGCTCTTACTTTGTCTTTCTTGCACTCCCTCCAACCTGCGGAAGGAGAAGATCCACACCAAAGGGAGCATTCTTATCGTTCAGATAGCTTTTGAGCTCTGCAACCTGTTCCCGGAGCATGTCTGGGGTGTAGCCAACCTGTGCACATCAGCCGAGTCCACTATAGTCTTGAGGTTCTTATGATCTTCCTTACACCACCGATAACACCAAGTCCTCCAGCGTTGGTAACTGCGGCTGCCAATTTAGGGCCAGCTGCCACGTTCATACCAGCTAGCAGGACTGGATGCTTGATCTTCAGGAGATCCGTGGTAGTGGTTCGGAGTTGCTGAGGGGACGCCATTTTGATGTAGGTGTACGCAAAGAGACGGGGAGGAATGGAACTGATTCAGGGACGTTGTTTTGGAAGAGGAGTGAAGGGAGGAATTTGGAGGTGGTATCTAGGACAGATGATTTGACGGTGCTGCGGAGACTCAGACCAGAGATATATCTGCACACAGCGAGGGGATTTAAGCAGAGAAGAAAAGCCGAAAAGCACAAAGTAATCAACAAATCTGTGGGAAACGGAGAAGAATTAGGACGAATGTAGCATTGGGTATGCGCATGGTGGAAGCGGTGGAAGCGGTGGAAGCGCAGCAAGTCATGACATGGTCAAAGTACCGAGGCATCTCCCCGATTCAAGGCATTTCAGTCCCACAATCCCACAAACTTCTCCACACTCTTACGCGGAATACGCTCCGATACGACATGGCTTGGTGGTGGTTGTGAGACACCTGACGGTCTCGGCTTAACTGTCATGTTCTTTTCCGCACATGGCGAGATGGTGAGCAGATGCGAATCAGGCTGGCACCTTATTTTAATATCACGTGCCGATCTGTCCCTTATCCGGTGCCAAGCGTTGAAATGCGGAGATGGTTTAGAGTCGGCTAAGATGCCACTTTTGGCTCCCAGCGACTGGGTGCCACTGGTGACGAGGCTTTGGTTTTTTGTTTTCACGCTGTAGCAAGCCGAAACCATCCTCAGTCCGCCTTGTCCAGAGCACTTGTTTAGTTGTGGTTGCTGCTACCAATAGTTCATCTCTTCGATAACTAAACATCAAGCTCGTATGTCCACTACTCTAGCGACAGCTGTTGGCCGGATTCCCTGCATCCAGAGTTTGCCTACTGTCTTCAATCCCACATGCTCATCACGGATACGACACGGTCTCTATACAAGTAATATCCAGTGCTGTCTGCGGTCGACTGTGCACAAACGCACGTTACCGACTCTATCCGCATCCTCGAGAAGCCGGGCTAGAAACTCCACTTTGCAGCAGCGTGTTCTGCGCCCCTATCCGTTTTCCTTGACCATGTCTCGGCCTTTGAGCCAGACCAGTGCAAAGATGAAGTCTTCAAAGTCGGCTTCAGATGCCCAAAATAAAGCCGTGGTAGCCTTTGGTAGCAACCTTGGAGACCGACTTGCCAACATCGAGGCTGCGCTCTCCAAGATGAGAGAAAACGACCTCCGAGTTCTTAAGCTGAGCTCCCTATATGAAACCAAACCAATGTACTACGATGATCAGGATCCTTTTCTGAACGGCGTTTGCCAGATTGAGACCAGTCTTGCACCGCTACAACTATTGGATGTCTTGCAGGCCATTGAGAATGAATTGGGCAGAAAACGGTTGATTGACAAGGGACCCAGGACGGTTGATCTTGATGTCATCCTCTACAATCAAGACTATTTCAAGCACCCTCGGCTCAACATCCCGCATATTCTGATGCTGGAGAGAGAGTTCGTGCTCAGACCTCTTGCAGAGTAAGTCTAGGCTGCATCGTTCCCACAAAAGGCTGACGTTTTCAAGCATATTGCCTGACGAGCACCTTCCGCCAGACTTCTCACCAAGTACTCGTCATCGCCGAATAAGTCAACTATTAGACGCGCTTCCAGAAAAAGACGCCACCATGTCTCCGGTCACCGTCTTAAGGCCACAGATGCCAATGGTCCGTACTCATGATGCCACTCGCAAGACCCATATTATGGCCATTCTGAACCTAACACCCGACTCTTTTTCCGACGGAGGCGTTCACACAGCCAAAGGTGCTGAGGCTATAAAGACAACAGTTGCGAATTTCATTGCGGCAGGCGCCAGCATCATCGACATTGGTGGACAAAGCACTCGCCCAAAGGCCGATTATCTTGGACCTAAGGAGGAGCTCGAACGCATCCTTCCAGTGATCCGCATAATCAGAGAGATGAAGGAAGCGGAAAATATCGCCCTCAGCATCGACACCTTTCACTCTGATGTAGCTCGGCAGACCATTCTTGCTGGTGCGGACATCATCAATGACGTCTCAGCTGGTCTCCTAGACCCTCAAATGCTACCAACGGTGGCTGAGTTGGGGAAGACTATTGTCCTTATGCATATGAGAGGAGATCCGCACACAATGACAAAACTCACTGACTATCCTGACGGGGTTACGAATGGAGTAGCTCGAGAACTTTACGAGCGCGTTCAGGCTGCCCTCGAAGCCGGGATTGCCCCGTGGCGAATCATCCTCGACCCCGGCTTGGGCTTTGCGAAGGACCAGGAACAGAACCTCGAACTCCTTCGAAGTCTTCAGCAACTACGGGAACAAACACAATACTCTTCTGTGCTAAGAAATTTCCCCTGGCTTATGGGCCCAAGCCGCAAGGGGTTCATTGGGAATGTTACCGGCGTGTCGGAGGCTCCCAAGCGGAGCTATGGGACGGCCGCCGCAGTTACGGCCAGCATTGAAGGCGGCGCTGATATTGTGCGGATACACGATGTTGGCGAAATGGTTCAGGTTACCAAGATGGCAGATGCTATCTATCGACGGCCCTGAAGGAGACAAATTGCACGTCTATGGCAACTTGCAGCAGATTTCAACATCCTGAGCAGGGCGAATTGATCATGCCAGATGTATGAATTGGATTGCGCGGCTGTCAGGAATATAATCCACATCTCGAACGAGGCTGCCCTGGTTTCCACAGTCTTCTGTGGCAAGGCTGCCACAGCCTCGGAGGTTCTTGGCCACCCATTGGCCAAGTCAACAAATGATGAGGTCATGACCAATCGATCTTCATGCAGGTACGAACCACCGTCAACCGTCAATGGGTTTTCGATTCCCCATGTTCAATGTCAGTCCATCATATTTTCTCCTCCTGTTTTTGCAATGGGATACATTCTCACTCATCGCAAATTAGCCAGTAGTCCATACACAGACACATTCGCTTCAGCATAGATCCACAGCATGCCTCCCAGCGGCCATCCCTTTGGCCTCCGCTGGCGAGCCAACACTCTTTTCATCATCTCTACAGTTGCCATCGGCCTGTTCACCGACCTCTTCCTCTATGGACTTGTCGTCCCCGTATTACCATTCATGCTCCAAGAGCGTATACATCTCCCCGAGGACAAAATTCAATCCTGGGTGTCTGGACTTCTAGCTGCCTATGCTGGCGCTAGTGTCGTCTTCTCCATCCCTGTCGGGATCGTCGCTGACCGCACCAATGCTCGGCGGACACCTTTCCTTTGCGGCCTTACCGCCCTGCTTGCCGCTACCATCATGCTGGCTCTGGGTCAGAATATTGTGGCGCTTGTTGTAGCCAGGATTCTACAAGGGACGAGTGCCGCTGTTGTCTGGACTGTGGGTTTGGCCATGGTGCTAGATACTGTGGGACCCCAGAACCTTGGTAAAGTAATTGGAACGGTAAGTTTTTCTGACGGAACTATTCATTGAAGACAAAATCTCATTCGGGCAACAGATTTTCTCCATCATATCAGTCGGCGAACTGGCGGCCCCTGTTCTAGGGGGAGTCCTGTACCGCAAGACTGGCTATGTAGGAGTTTTTGGATTAGGTGCAGCCTTTCTTGGAGTCGACTTTATCATGCGTATCTTGGTGATTGAAAAGAAAGTCGCAGTGAAATATGACAAAACTCTTGCAGAGATTCAGAATCCCCGCGACGCCGAAGCGCGACCTGAAGGAACGGATAGCGAAGACGATCGGAGCGAAGACGAACCCCTGTTGCCAAAAACGGAGGAAGATAACTATCGTATTCCAGAAGGTCAAAACAGGCTGGTCCGAACGCTTCCTATCCTCTACTGTCTATCCAACCCCCGGCTTCTTGTCGCTTTGCTGCTTGCATTCGTTCAAGCTGCGTTACTCGCCACCTTCGATGCCACCATTCCCACCGAAGCACATACGCTGTTCGAGTTCGATTCTTTACAGTCCGGTCTCCTCTTCATTGGTCTTGACATTCCATACCTCCTCCTCGGTCCTATAGCTGGCTGGGCCGTTGACAAATATGGTACAAAACCAGCCGCGGTCCTGGGTTTCGGCTACCTCGTTCCAACCTTGATACTACTCCGCCTACCCTCGTCACAAGTCGCACCCAGCCGTACTGCTAATATCGTCTTATACTCCGCTCTCCTGGCCCTCAATGGAATTGGCTTGGCAATCATCGGCTCACCATCCATCGTTGAGGCCTCGGATGTGGTGCAAAAATACGACAAAGCCAATCCGGGACTCTTTGGAGAAAATGGGCCCTATGCTCAACTTTACGGCTTCAATTCCCTGGTATTTTCCGCCGGGTTGACGGTCGGGCCCGTCTTGAGCGGATCCTTGAGGGACAGTATAGGCTATGGCAACATGAACGTCGTGGTGGCATGCATTGCAGGAGTCACGGCTATACTGAGTTTCTTCTTTGTCGGCGGTCGACCGAGGATACTAAAGAAGAACAAGAGGCAGCTAGATGAGAGGTAGAGTCTTTCCAATGACTCGGGCAAAGTCGAGCAACCGGCACAGACCACGGATTGAAATTTTGGACTTTTTACCTTGTACTCTACAATACTTTTAGAGGATAGCGTTCTTTGGGATTCTCAATAAATATTATTCTTTTTTTGGGATTCTATCTCTCTCTCTTCCATCTCCAAGGTATTCATGGGAATATCGGGCCGCAGATCTCAATGTGCGTGGGGGACACCGTCTGAAGGTCCCCAGGTGCCCACGTTTCAGGCCGCCGCTCATGTCAAGGGCCCGAAGGAGGACCCGTCTCAGACTAGCCCTCAAGGAAATTATCTCCCAGAAAGGGCGAGATTACAGTCCGGCCCTGTCGAAGCGGGGAGCAGGGTAGTATATACCCCACAGAAGATCTCTGGAAATGAAGGGTGAAGGGTGAAGGGTGAAGGGGTCTTGAACATACATGTTCCAGGCCACGAACAGCAGACGACTCTGTCAAGAATGAAGATAAGTCCACAGTCTAGTGGTCAACGTCCAGCGTCGTAAGGACCCCAGGGATGGGCGCCCCATGAAGGAGTTCCTGAAAGTGTCCCTGCTACCGTCAGACAGACATCTGCACCGCCACTCACAAAGGGGTGGTGAGCAGCTGGGCGCATATCCTCAGGAGGCATCATTCCCGTGGCAGCTGTGTTGTAGATCTGGGAAGGGTAAAGACCCTTGGTGAGCTCAGGAGAACGACCTTCCTCCTTTGGGGTTCTGTTGGGCCCGAATCGTAGCCATTGAAACGGCGGTCGCGGTGGTGGCCGCTCTCCTCTCTGAATATACCATTCAGCTTCCTGTTCCCAGTTATGCCATCGGACCAACTCGTCCATGAGGGATTCAGAATCTGCGACGTGGCCCGTTTCCCGCAGGATAGAAACAAGAGGCCAGGCAGCCCACCAAATAATGAGGCTGTGGACACCGTGAATCAGTAAACGGAGGTCAAGAACCTGCCGGAGTTGTTTCTCTGCGTTTAGAGGGTCTTGTAGACGGAGAAGCAGCATTGCATGTCGAGACAGCAGAGTCGAACGAAATAGCTGCAGAACAGGCCCATGCGCCTCGATATGGGTTTGATCTTCTTCCAAGAGTTGTGTCGCGCTCATTGCTCTGCGGTAGCATTGTACAGCCGCTTCGGTACGGCCTACCTGTGCATAAGCCCTCGCAGCGATCGCCAAACAATTAATGGTCAGGAGATCGTGACGTCCCATTTTCCGCTCGCAAACCGGGAGGCTGCTTGTCAAGAGCTTTAATGCCTCGTGGTATTCACCTTTCCGCATTGCATGCCATGCATAGAGGTAGCCACTAACGAAGAAATTTGGGTGCTCCCGGCCCCAAATCTGCCCGATCTGTGCGTGCGACCGTCCCAGCAACTCGCCGTAAAATTCCATCTCTTCAGGATCGTTGTTGGCCCAAGCCAGAGCGTACCGGAACGGGACCTCGTATGTGTAGCTCTTGCGCATGGCAGGCTGAGAACTGATGATGGAACAACTTGCGGAGAGAAAATTCGCTAGTTGCTCCATCCGCTGAGTCTGTCCTAGCACCAGCATTGTCCAGCTAAGACAGGGGAGGATGAACTCGTTGTTGTGCTCCAACGCATACTGCAGGATATCCATGGACTGAGACTTGCGGAATTCGAGCATGTCTTCCTGCAAATCATCGGAAAAACATTGCAGATAATATGGCGCTGCCCATTGGCTGGCGCTTAGTTTGTGGTCCTCCTCGGTGGTGACCTGAAATGAGTGCACAGGTTGAAAGTAGGAAGCATATTCAGGTGGCTCATACTTGATGCCCTTACACAGCGTTCCGATTGATTCGCTAAAGTCGTAACTTTGGTGAGAGTGTGGCGGTTGGCATGAACGGCATGAGTTGGGGTTAAAGATTGTCTCAGAGGGCGTAGCAAGCACGAGCAGCGTTGTCGTCGAAGACACGGAGCAGTTCGAATATGGGCTGGGATAAGCCTCGTCTTCGATTTGGAATGGCTCGGGGGCTAAGCTCAGCAGCGTATGAACTGGGCTCAGCTGAAAAGATGCGTTACCGCCACCGACCACGTTTCCAGCGCCGACCGGCCAAGACAGATCGTTACAAGGAATCGGCTCAGGCGGTAATACTTGACAGTCATTTGTTGCCACCGTAACAGTCGGAGGGGAGAGTCTTTCTGGACCGCTGGTAGTGGGCGGTGTGTAAATCTCCGGAGGCGAAGGAATTCGAGGCATCGAATCGTCTGAAGGTACGTTACAGGCTTGGACAGGCTCAAATTGTGATGGTGGAGAGTCCTCAGATTGCCGGTTTAGAAATAATGTGAGAGCACTCTCGCCAGTGGTGAGTGTGTCTCTATTTCGCACACCGCAGTTCCTGAATGGTAGACTATGCAGATTTGCATGCCATTGAAGAGGACCGCCATACAGCTGGATTTCCCGGGCTCGATTGTGATGAATCAGCAGATCCTTTTCTTTCCAGGAGATGCCAGCAACCCTCAAGGTGTATTCTGCTTCGCAAAGGGACGGGAGTTTGAAAGATTCTCGGTGTGATAGGTATCTTTTTCTGACTCTTTCGCATTCTTTCTTGATTTTTTGAGCATTAAAAGTAACTCGTTCGTCCCTCTTTGGCACCTCGAAAACAGCCTCACTGCCACGAGCCTTCCACGAATCTGCCACCACCAGCATGGCGAGATAATGTTGGTGGGGGGTTTTTTTGCGTTCATATTTCCACTCGCTCAACCTGTTCTTGATCTGCCTCTCGCTCACAAAGACACTGCGAAGACGGAGTTGCTTCTGGATGTATTCGCAAGTTCGATTCTCCCGGAGATACCACCTGCGGATGTCGGCCTTGAGTGCCTCCCATGTCTCCCTAGGAGGCTGCGGCGAGCGATCGCCTACCATTGGATATTACAAAACCTTCAGAGGTCCAGCTGGGAGTTATCATTCGAGTCTGATAAAGGATACCACTGGAACGCTGAGAATTGTGCAACGACACACCTCCCTCTGACGGCGGCGTAGGGCAGATCGGGAGTACTCGCAGTAGCGGCAGCGATTACAGGTGACCGAAAGGCGGACAGCTGTGTAGGTCA